ACACACACACACACACACACACACACACACACACACACACACACACACACACACACACACACACACACATGATAAAAAAAACTGTCGAGACAAACAAGTTTTAAAAATCTTTAATAGAAAATAACGGTAAATTATAATTTAAAAAAATGTTTACTTCATGAAATAATAATTTAAAGAATGGGATTAAATATGTATATACATATAATCGTATGTATATGTATATACATAAAATCATTTATTGAAAATTTTGAAACATTTGAAAGAATACATCTCATAATAAATATTCAATTATAATTCAAAATATGTTTTCATAATTAAATAATAATTGAAAGAATGGGATTTGAAAATCAAAAATAAATAATTTTTCAACGTGCAGTATTAAGATTTTATAAACATATACTTATACGCGTATATCTCAGATTCATAAAAATTTATACATAGAAAAAAAAAAGCATACTTTAAATGTACAACTAAAAACCAATGTTAGTTTCTGCTCTATGTAAATCGAGCACCTCTGAGCAATTGTTGTATTTTTTGCATGGTGTGTAACTTTATTTGTAGGTAACCTTTAATTGACTATTTTACATATAAAAAAAATCAACCGATGATAATATTCATAGATATATATAAAATATATAAGTTTACCGATGGATTTCACGGTTTCAAAAAATCGATTTTTTTTGTCTTATTAAATTCTACAACAACTTTAGAATATTGTCCTAAAGTTTCAAATTGATCTGAATAATAGTTTTGGACATACAGTTATAAAAAGTTGCGCGGTCAAGGCGCTGTTGTATTGACACTCAAAACTTTAAACGCGTTTTTCTCAAAACTATGTTTTCAAAGACTGTTGTCAATATTTCTCGAGAACTACTTAACAGATCTTGATAAAATTTTAAACAGGTCTTCGAAATATAATTTACAAGGTCTGGGACAACGGATTTTTTTTTTCAATTATAACTATTAAAAAAAAAAATTGCCGGGAAATTTTAGCCAAATTTTTCATTTTTTCGTAGAAACCTGCCAAAAATAAAATTTTCATTTTTTTTTCCTTCGTCCAAGTCCAAACTGAAGCACATATTTTTTTTTCACTTCAAATGATCCTTCTAGGAATTCTGCTGTCAACGCAGACACATATTTTTTTCCGAGGATTAGCCAATAATAACGTTACAATGGCAGAGTTTTTAATAGTTTTTTTTTTTTTTAATTTCAGCAATCCCTTATTGAACATGCATCTTTAAGACAGTAAAAAGTTTGAATAAAATATTTTATTTTTTACATTAAAAAAAAACTTTATAAAGTTTTTTCAGTTCTAACTCCAAAACCACTCATAATAAAAAAAAAATTTTGAGACAAAACAAGTTTCAAAAAGTTCTCTTTAATAGAAAATGGCGGTAAAATTTTGGAAAATCCCCAAGGAAAAATTTTTCTTTATTAAAACCGTTTCAGTAAATACTATTAAAAATTTGTGATTTTTGAAGTGTTTTCCAGTCTAACTTCAAATCCACTTATAATAAAAAAAAAAAAACTTTGAGATAGAGCGAGTTTCAAAAAGCTGTCTTTGATAGAAAATAACGCTAAAATTCAGAAAAATCCTAAAGGAAAAATTTTTCTTTATCAAAACCGTAATAGAAAAAATTTATAATTATTAAATTTATATTAAAAATATTAAAATCAAAAATAGGGTGGCAATGGCCTGGTCGGCTCGGTGCTCGCTTTTCGAAAGAGTGAGACCCGGGTTCGATCCCAGCACGCACCAATATTTTTCAGTAATTATAATTAAAAATATGTGCGTTACGTTACGTTGCCAGCCTCTGGAAGTGGCAGAGATAGCCGGGTGGCACACGTCTGACTTGGGCGATCACACATTTAAGCAACTACTTGAATGGGTGACCACTCTAGTCAACGTTGACTAGCGCGAGGGATCTCTGCACACTAGGAGAGGGGCCTAATGCTCCAGTGGTCGATAAAGAAGAGTTTCTTATCAATCACTATAGACTTAGCCCAGCTCCGACTGTACTATCATGGGTTTTCTCTGTGGTTTCCCCATGGTTCTGTTCGAACAGCCTGAGAGGTGAAGTTCAGGGTGAATACGGTACAGAGAGTACAAGTCGGTCCACAGCCGCAAAATTAAAATAAAATGAAGTGTCGGGTGGGACATGATGAGGTCCAATATGAGAGATAGAAAAAGCGTAAAGCTAGGAGAAAAAAGAGGAATCAGCTTTGTAAAAACCGAGAGGTGTACAAGTAAAGCATAATAATACAATGTGTATGTAATAAAATAATATTAAAATCAAAAATTAATTTTCAAACTTAAGCGAAACTATATCTTAATAAGCGTGAAATATGAATTGAATTTACACATGCAAAAGAAATTAGTAAAAAGTATCAGTCGTTCAAATTCAATATTTATTAATAAAGATAATAATATGTAAAATTAATTATAGCAAATACCTTAAGAAGTTGAAGTTTCATGTAGACTTTTTGATCATATAATCATAATGAATTCTCATTTTATTATTTTTTTAGATATGTTATAGAAATAAGTACAAGAATATATCGTCATTAACGTATAACTTATCAATATTTTATATCAATTCGAGTTGTCTATCAATTCAATGATAATATTCAATGTTATTTATATTGATAAACAAACTTTTTATGTAATGAGATGGTTAAAGAAAAATGATGCATTACCAACTTCAGATATAGAATAAAAAAATTTTTTTTTTAATTTATAAATACAATAGTTATAGTTATTTGCTATAAATTAATAAATTAACTTTTGAATTAAGATAAATATTAATAAAAAAAAAAATTATTCTAGATAATTCATTCAATATTTATAGTCAAATTATTTTTCTATGAGAAAATTTTGTTTTTAAATTAACAAATAGTAAAAATCAATTTCAAATAAAATTGTTTTAAATATTATTACATCTTGTTTTCAATTTTCATATCATCATTATTAAATGATTTCAGCAAATTACTTTTTAAGTAAACGTAATTTATAAGCAAGTTTATTAAATTATGAGAAGTATTCATTCAACAATATTATTATATTTTCTATTTTAATAAGTTTAATAGTTTTTTTTTCTTATATTTATGATATTTTTATCAATTGATAATATATTTATTGATTTTCTTTATGGTTTTATCAATTTTTTGATCATTTGTAATTTTAAAAAATTTCATTTAGGATTTAATTCTAAAAATTAATTATAATTTATAACAATTATAAAAACTTACATGAGCGTTATTTATAATTAGCCCATTTCAGTGGTTTCATATTGACCTTTCGACAAATTTACAAACCGCTTTTTAACAATTCTCTAAATTTTTGGTTTAGAAATGGATAAATTTACAGTTTTTCATTTAATTGAAAACTTGAAGACCTATTACTCAAATCATTGAACGTGATTATATAATAATCAAGTGATAAACATCTAATAATAATTTTTAACTTAGGATAATTTTTTTTTATTTTAATTTTAAATTTACTTAGCAAATTATTTTTAGCATCTTTATTACTAATTGAAATTTTACTATACAATATTAAAATTTTAATCATTTAAGAGAAGCAATAATCATTATCTAATTTTATAAAGATTAATTTTGTCTATAAAATCATTAAGTATAAAATTATTATAATGATTTAAATTTTTTCAATCGATAACCAAACTTAAGGGGAGAAATACGTGTACATGCTTAAAAAAATTCAATTTTTTTTATAAATCGCTTGTAAAACTATTTAAAAATATAGATTTAAAATTTCAAGTAAAAATTCCTATTCGTTCAAAAGTTGTAAGCGATTTGGTAATTACTTTAATACTATTTTACATTAACTTTTTCTGTCACTTTTTTTTTTTCAAACGCGTTTTTCTCGAAACGAACTTTTTCAAATCTGTGTACAAAGAGTTTTGAACCAATCATCTTGCGATATGGTTTATAATTTTCTTTATACAATTACCTTGAATATGAACCTCAATCGAAAGCGATATTTTTATTTAAACTATTTTTTTTTTAATGAACAATGTATGAAAAAGTGGTAAAAAATTACGACTTAATTTCACAGCTCTCTAAAAAATGAAAAGTTTTACTTTTTTTTTTTAAATTGAGGTTCATATGGAAGATACACATATAAATGAAGTAATTTTTCTGTGCCATTTTTTTCAAATAAAAATTTTGGCTTCCATACTGCACACAGACTGCTAAGTCAGATAACAATTGATATCTCCGCTATTTGTTAACTTATATTGTTGTTTAATACGAAAAAATAATCATATGTTGAATATATATATATATATATATATATATATATATATATATATATATATATATATAAAATAACCCGATAGTTTCAATAAATAATATTAATTTGTTACACCTAAAAAAAATTAATGAAAATCATTAACATGTATTTCCCCCTTAACATCGCATTGATTTACCATCACAAGATAATTATAATTGCCATTACATAATAAAATTTTAAAATTGAGTATAATAAACAAAAGAAAAATGACAAATAGCGTTGTTTATAACAAAAGAAAAATAACATTCATAATAAAAGTTTGCCTTAAAATACAATTTTAAAAAGTTATAAAGGTGATTAAATTAATAACTAATTAAATTAAAATTCAATTAAAATTATACCTACCTAAAATAATTTATTATAATAAAGTGATTGTTCAAAAACGTGATGCCCCCTAAAAAACTAAAAAATATGTCTGATGAAACTGTAATTGCAAGTGCCTTGAAAAATTTTAGTCGTGAAATTGAAAAAAATGCTGACAATGAAAATAAACAGAAAAATGATAAGAAAATCAAACAAAAAAATGATGAAGCAGGTAATTCAAAGTCTGATGATAAAGATAACAATCAAGACGGTAGTGAGACAGAGGATGGAGAATTTGGGATGTCTACTCAATTCGATAATATTAATACAGATGATATAGAGTCAATTGCATCAGATACACCAGAAAAAATTGAAATTTCATCAACGGAATATTTAAAAAATATACCACTATGGTCATCAACTATGTGAGTAATAATCATTTTTATCATTATATAAAAGCAAAAATATTTTATATAAATTATTATAATATTAGAAATTATTGAAAGATTTTATGAATTTGTAAGACAAAAAGTAGTAGTAATAAAATAATAATAATTATTGATTTTAGTGAAATAGTTGGAAGAATTGAAGAGATTGTTGCGTCAAAAGAAATTACTTTTCAAAAAACCGGAGGAAAAGGAACAGTCTTCAAATTTGTGATTGCTAATGATGATGGTACAAGAATTAAAATTTTAAGTTGGGATGACGAAATAAACAGAGTAATTCCATTTATAAGTATTGGCTCGGTATGAATCTTGATTACTTGAAATATTGATTTAATTTAGCTGAATTATTTTGTAATCTTTAATTTTTAATTTGATAAATTTTTATTTCAAGATTATCCACATCGATGGCGCGTTTTCAAAACCCATTGACTCTAAAAGTAGATGCTACAACTCCGGAAGTGTAGACATAGAATTGAAGGTAGAATCTAATACCAAAATTAATGTATTAAAAAGGATGAGTCCCAGAGAAGTACCAACACTTGAAACTTTTCAATACCCACTCATTACTATTGAAGACTGTGAGCAGTATATACAAAAAAAAATACGTAAGCTATTATTTGATATTTTATTTAACACTAAAATTATAAATGAAGAATCTCTGTACGTGCATAATTTTGTATACGTATTTAATTATTAGTGATAACTTTTGTGTAAGTATGATTAATAAATGTTTTCTTTAGGTTTTCAAGGTTGGACTAAAACTAATTTTGATGTGGTGAAGTTAAGAACTGACGATTCTTTTAAATGCTGTGGTTCAATTGCCGTAGGCGATGGCTATAAAATTGAAATAAAACTTATTAATTTCCAACAGCCATTCGAAAGTCCTTTCTCCAAAGGCGATCACGTTGAGGTCACTGGGATTATGAAAAACTATTACGGTTAAATTTTTATTATTTAAAAATTTTTCAAACTTAAATTGGATTATTAAAATAATTTTTATTTTTAAAATAATTTTTATTTTTTTTGTAAATTAATTTTTATTTTTAATATAATTTTTGTTTTTAAAATAATTTTTATTTTAAAAATAATTTTTATTTTTAAATTAATTTTTATTTTTAAAATAATTTTTAATTTTTAAATAGCTTATATTATCAAAATAACTTTGTTAAAAATTTTCTACAGGTCGCGCAATGATAATGATTGATTCAATTGATGCTGTTGAAATTATTGATGGATGTAAAATGTCTTTATCACTCTTAATTAAATCTAACAAGGAGATCAAGTTCCAAAACCAAGAAGAGTTTCCTTTCAAAAAACAGAGACAAGTTTAAAAATTTCGTTCTTAACTTTAAAAATTTATCATCATTTGAATAATATTTACAATTATTTACATTTATAATATTAACAATTATATGATGCTAAATTGAATGGTATCAGACAATAATTATCGATTTTATAATTATTAATTACTGCATCGGTAAGCTGTTTTAAAAGATCATTAATTATTAAGTAATCCATTTAAAACCAAATTTATTATTACTTAAATAATATTTACAATTATCCTATGCTAAATTGAATAACATTAGCCAGTAATTATCGAGTTGAAGAATTTAATACTACATTGGTAAGTTGTTTTAAAAGATCATTAATTAAGTGATCTATTAAAAACATCTTATTTTTTTTTTCGTTGTTCAAAAGTTTATTTTTAAATTTATTGTTGTTTGAATAATATTTACAGTTATACTATGCTAAATTCAATAGCAAAAAATCTATATTGTACTTTGTACGTTGAATTGTTCATTAAATCGAAAAAAAAAATATTTTTTAATTTTTTAACATTTATTTTTTACTTATTTAATAATTAAGAAATTGAAAATTACATGAGTAAAATCATTTTACTGCGTATGCACAGTAAAGTTTCTTAGTCTGCTTGAAGCTAAAATTTATAAACTATTGAATTTATTAATTAATGATGTAATTTTTTTGTAATTAACGGCGGTGTTATGTTTATTTATAAAAAAAATTTTAATCCGTTTCCGTAAAAATCAACTAAAATATATATAATTATCAAGAAATTTTATCTACGCATGTGTAAATATTTTCTAGCACTAAAATTTAAAATGTTAAAAAAATCAAATATTTAAAATGTACGCATGTACACAAAAAATTATCAACTTATAAAAAAAAATAGATTTTTACTTCAATAAAATTTTTAAGATATAGAATCACTCAAACTTTTCTGCGCTTTCTGCTCGTAACGTAGACTTTGATCTATTTGGAAGTTGAGCAGTCGCTCGGAGAGCTCAAATCACACAAAAATTATATTTTCTAGTTCGAAGAGCTTGAAAACGTAATAAATGCAATTTTGAGTGCTTGAATATGAAATTAGCGGGAAGTTGTAGGGATAGCCTTTAGGGTTAACCGTATTTCTATTTTTTTTTTCTTTACTTATAATTGAGTTATTTAAAATTACTTGGGTAAAATTATTGTCGTTAACTTAATTCGTAAAAAACGAATTCATAATTTTTAAGACTATTTTGTTGTAAATGCCGAATTTACTGGAAGTCGACGAGTCAATAATAAAATAAAAATTTATTGCTACCAAAATATAGAAAACAAGCCAAAGATTCGAACAGTCTCCTGAAAACCCTCGAGTCTCCTGCCTCAGTGACTCTTAAACCAAAAGCAGGAATCTATATCTAGGTTAAAAGCGACAAGGATTTCATAGAAATATATAACTATTGTATTTGTCCTCATGGCACAGCTTTTGAAAATTTTTACAATATTGTGAATCAGCTAGATGAACTGAGTTAGAAAATATACACATGCATATATATTTATATAAGAATTAATTTTATTTATTTATCTAAATTAAAATTTTTTAATTAATATCATGATTATGATTAAAATGATATAGGTTCACAATAAAAAATTATTTAATTAAATTATGTTTAACAACTATATTCACATTGACTTGATATTACTAACTTCACGATCATTAAGATATATCTATTTACTAATAGATATTGAAAATTATTTTTGAAACTAATTGCAAATTTATTTTTGATTGAAAAAATGGTTAAAATCAATTTCAAAGAAAGTCACGAACTCAGACTGTTTGAAGACGGCGAAGAATCAAAGTAAGTCGTAAAGTTCATCGTTTTTTTTTATTATTATTGAATGCAGAGACACAATAAATAATCGTTATTAATTTTGATGTATAAATATTTTGAATAGCTTATAAAAAAAAATGATATTTAATTATTAATTTTTCATCATGCAGTTTTGCTGGTTTTATCACAACAATCGTGGGTATTCAGTGGGTAGAATTTGAGTATCGCTTTATATTTTTAATATCTGAAGGAAAAATTATAAGATATCCTATTTACATGGATATTGCATGTAAAAATATAATCAATCATATTCATTTGCACCAATTAATTACGATAAAAAAATCGATAGCGAGAATTGGTGTTTTAGATCCATTTGCAAATGATCCTATTGTTCATGAATTTCGATTTGAAATAAACCATACATCACAAGTAAATATTATACCTTTCACATTGAGTAATGATCGATTATTTACACGCAGAGATACAGAGAGATGGTAAAGTTAGTATGAAATCTTCCGTACCACTCGAGCGATGCAAATAATTTTATACTAACTTCAATATCTCTCTATATCTCTCCGTGTAAATTATGCAATTTCGAAAATTAATTACTCAAAAAACGGTGTGGTGAATTGATTTGAAATTTTGGTGGTGAATTATTAAGATATTTATATTTAAAAAAAAAATTTCGTAATTTTCTCAAAACTTGCCTTGCAGGACCCAAATACCTTAATTATTTTTTGTTTTACGTGAAGTTATATATTTGGATCAAAAAAAGCCAAAGCAGTTTTTTTACTCGTTAAATACCACAAATAGTTTTTGAATTTGTGCAATACTGTTTTAGAAACTTTCTCATCAGTCTTCCTGTATTGATACACAGTCGTGATATAATTTAAATCGTTGAATAGAACTGATGCTGCAAGAGGTGCCACAAACCAAAATGACACATCAATAAATACTAAACTCATGAAAAATTTAACTTGACTCAAGAGCAAGAATTTTGAACCAAGAACACCATTTTGAAAAAAAAAGAATTTCTGAAGTTTAGAGGAAAAATTTTCGAGTTAAGATATATTTCTTGGTTCAAGAAAATTTTCTTGAATTAAGAATTTTTCTTCTTGACTCGAAAGTGTTATTTTCTTCGAAATGGTGTTCTTAGTTGAAGATTCTTGATCTTAAGTCAAGTTAAATTTTTTATCAGTGTATGCATGAACAAACATCCAAAAGATTTTGTTGCGTTACAAGATCTAACTCGAAAATGTCTTGAAAAATGTATATTTTCAACGAACAAATTGCTTTTGACATCTATCGTGCATGGTAAAATACACCTGGTTTGTAAAATTTGATTTCATCGGCACTCTAATAATGCGACTAAAAATTGCTTAACAAATAAATGTGAATAGAGACAAAAAATACATATAAGCGGGAATATTATTGAGAATGCATTCGATACATCGCATTGTTAACGTTACTGTAACTGTTAATCTTTTTAATAAAATTTTTGGAACATTTATGGATGAAATAAATGACTATAACACATGAAACTTGTAACGGGGTATATTTTTATTATCCCGTTCAATAGCAGCCTTATTTATTAATTAGATGTTAACTATCAAAACCATGAGATTATTATTATTAGATGTTAATTTTAAGGGCGCCACCAGGTTGTTATAACGGTGTTATAATCCTGGAAATCGGAAGAAAGGCGATAATCTGGAAACCGGAAGAAAGGAGCGATAATCTACAGGGTAGAGAGAAATAGAAAATTGTCTGGAAATAATAAAATTAATAATTCGTGGTTACAAATTATTTATTTTACAATAATCACTCTCACACGCATACTATAATCTCCATTGCCAATCTTATCTAAATAATTCCTTAATTAATACCCGTAAAACAGAGGGGAAACCGTTCCTTAATTCACGGGTATGTAGACCACGTGACCTCCAGCATATTTCACCAATATTCCGAATTACCAATGACCGATTTATTATAAACTTCTGATATAGAGGGAAAACCGTACCATTTATCAAAAGCTAATCGTCATCGATCTCACTCTCTCTCACTCATAACCTAACCAAAATTTATTGAAATAAATCATTAAATTTATCTAACCGAACTCTCAAAATTATCAAGTGACTATTTTCAACACAATAGAATAAATGACGCTAGTAAACGTGACCTTTGATTTTTAGACGCGCAGTTAAAATGTACTGCGTAGTAACAAAATCTACCACCACTTTCTTATAAAATTCCAAATTAACAATCAATAAATTAAATTTTACTTAACCGCAAATTTATTAATAATTAATTAAATTAATTCATTAAATTCCATTGTAAAAATGACGCGTAAATAACTTAGCACAAGGCCCGCCTCAAGGTCAACTAATATTTTCTGGGTGTCGGACCACAGAATTTTCTAGCAATTATATTTTTAACCACTAATTATTTTAATTTAATAAAACCAATTAAAATAAATAAAAACCTTGTCCAGAAGAGGAGATTAGACTGAGTACGAACCACAGTCGAATTTTTGCCCACGAGACATAACAATGTACCTTGTAAATCGCAAACTCCTTCCCACTAACTACAGCCACGCCTTTGTTCTACTACCGTCCTCGTCGTTACTCGTTACTCTCAGGGATTTTACTGCTTTCCAACCGCAACAATTATTCCTAGACGTACCAATTGGATTAGTATATTATAATTTATTAATTAGAAATAATTAATAAATATTTAACATTGCTTGCGTTCCAAATTATGTGAACGCGCGACTGGATAATTACCTGTGAATTCCAACTGCGTCCGGAACGTTCGGTGGTACAACCTCTTCTGTTCTTCCGTCGGTTGCCACTCCACTCGTTCTCGCTCTGGCCTATTGCCCCCTCCCTACTACCTAAAATGCCCGAGACCATCGCGCACTGGTGTCGCGTCGATAATTTACCGAACTCACAACGGTTCGTTCTAACTACCAGAGGTAACAATGTACCCTGTTGCAAACTTCATAGCAAGACTGAAAAACTATGACAATAACTATATACATAACTTAAACCATAAATAACTTTTAAAGGATTGATTTTATCGAAAAATTATAAGAGAATTTTTTTGTAAAGCATTAAATTTCCCATTAAAATACGCATCGATCATAGTCGTAGTGGCATTTTTTTTTTAAGGAAAAAAATTCATTCCAACAAGTTCGAAATTCCCATGTTATTTAAATG